ACTTGAGCACTAGACTTTCTTGAAAAGAAAATATAGCAGTTGGTTTTGTCCCCCAAAGGTGCTGGCCCGTGCATAAAATTGTACCTCGAACTGATTACAAGCATTCCAATACCTCTACTCTGACAATTAATGATGGTAGCAAGAGGTCTTTCCTCCATTATTGTCTCCCTATTCAAGGTATAATCTGGTTGCCATTTCTTTACAAAGAAGGAAATGATCACTGTTTAGTACCAGTTAGATATTCTTTTTGCTTTTCTAATGCTCAGAAGCCCTTGTTCTTTCTGTCTTTTAATCCACACACAGCTCAGTCTTTGCCAATTGCTCAGTAGATTCAATGACAGAATCTGTAAAATTGTTGGCAAAGATCTTGCAATTTCTGCAGCTATCTTTCTGCGACTATGGTTAAATTAGAGCCTTTGGGGTGTGACAAATGTAAGTCTGACAATTTAAATGCTAATTAATTAATTAACATGAATAGTTTACACTTTAACTAATATCATCAATCAATGTTTCACCCAACAATGTATACAATTAATTATTGGAGCAAAGCATGAATCTACTGGTTGTGAGAGGGAAAGCCACAGAAAAACAATTTGTTGTAGCAACCTTGGGAAATGCATTTGCTCTTGGCACCAATCAATAGCATTGTAGGGAAAGCTCATGAGAAGATTATTACTTTTGTTGTTGTTCCCAGAAGCAGCAATACAGCACAAGAGCAAACATCATCCCCAGTCTTATGTATACCGTACATCGATAATGACTGGTTTGTACCTTGGAAGTTATTTAATGTGAAATGCACTAAAACATTTTAAAAAAGAAATATAACAAAAACTACACCTGAATATAGAAAAATTTACAACAATTACATATAAACAATTATGCAAGACTTGTGAATCTGTATAATTTTCTATATCAACCAAAACACAATATATTTATGGATTTAGTTGCTAAAAATGGAACACAAGATTTATTATCAAATCTATGCAGCTGTTTTGAAGGTCTAGTGTAATATGCATAGCATTAACACTAGTCAAATTGCATTGCATCTTCCCAGAATACGGCAGAGAAAAAATAGTCAAATCTGATTGGTTGCTGTAGGGCAACACTCCACTTTTCATGAATAAGCCTCAGCCAATGCTGGAAGATGCCATATTAATTAGATCTTAATTAGATATTTTCTTCCTAAGGCAACCTGAAAGGAAAAATGGTTGATAATTTGCAGGATCTACTCGGACAAGTTCAGGCATCTACGATAATGAACTAAAGATTGATACAAAAACATTTCTTTAGAGCACACATTTACTATACATAATTTGTATACTATGATGATAAGAAATTCTGAGCTTTGATTCAATAAATGTTAAGCACAATGTTCTTGACAACCTAATGACATTTCTTCCAAGAATTGCAGCAGTTACCAAACTACGAACAACTTGGACCGCAGGCTTTTTATTTGAAGGTGAGAACAAAGTAAGCTCGCTGAGTTTTATTTTCACACGTCATTGCCTGTCCACAGTTATTATTTTAACATGCTTACTATCTATATTAGAATCTCTTCTCATATCTTTAATTAAGCTATGACTTTAGATGGAAACACTTCTGGTTACATTCCACGCACAGACTGTTCTCCCACAGGTAGCCACTGATAATTGTGTGTATATCACTTCAATAATCCAATCATGTCCAGATGAAATAAGTAAACAGGGATTTTCTTTGTACGTGATTGGATATAATGATGATTTCAGTGAATCATCACACAATTTATTGTGTGACTATTCTCAACCCCTATAGTAAATCAGCCTCAACAAGTCTGTTAAAGAGATTATTTGATGTTGAAAGACTACATTTCAATTTCATACATTTAGTCAGTTCATGATATCAGTATAAATCAATTTTCACAAATTGTCTCAAATTATGTTTACTACTTTATGGACAAACGCATAATCTTTTTTTTTTTTTAAACACACAGTATTCTCTCTCTTTTTCTATCTGTCTGTTGTACTCTGTTGACTGTTAGCATCTAGAGAGAAACCAATAATTGTACTGTATGTAACATAGTTTGAT